TAAATGGGTTTGGCTGTAATTTAAGGACAGATTATAATATATCTGCAGGGTGGGGACTATAAATCTGATAGTTTTATTTTTTATTGCCGTTTTCCACAATATGCTTACATAAAAAATATTTTTTTTGTTAAATATTAGAGATTTTGCAGATATATTCTTTAGACATACCTATAACTTTTTCTACTTCACTTTTCTGTCAACTCTGATCTTTAGATCTTTCCATAGTGGTTCGATTGGATTTAAATGTGATTGTCTGGAGCATTCTAGCAGCTTTCATTTCTCTCTGTAGTTTTAAAGCACTTTAAAAATAGCAAAGGTCATCAGTGCTGTTTATCAAACTGAAAGGAACAGTAAAAAGAAAACCGTCAAGCAAAATACAGACACGGTAAAATAGAGATTAAGAGATTGTTACAGAAATGTTACATTATGAAGTGAGGGAGAACAAATGCAGCTTCAATAAAAATAGTTGGTTAAAATTTAGGCAAGGAGGAATAATTTAAGTCAACAGTTAAGAAGATCAGTGATTAGCTCTTGCTCTGATTTCTGACATTAGTAGCAGTTTGTTTCGCACAAACTGCGGCCTTTACGCTACATGTAACAGAGCACCGGTCATTTGCGGCGTAAAACCCCTTATCTTCCTGCTAACAAGTACGTGGTTAACAATGTAGCCAGCAATGTTTGTGAAACAAAAATACAAATACAGCAGTTTCACTGAGCTTTTAGTTAAAGAGCTACTGTAGACAATTATCGCAACACTCATTACAAACACTAAATGAAAGGATACAAAGTATACCGAGAGAAAAATCAGTGCACAACAATCCACAAGAGACAGGATAAAAACCGCCGCCTCCATTGTAACGCTTCACGTTTCCGTTTCCCTTCCCTTCTCTTCTTCTTCTCCTTCTTCAGCCACCGCCGCGTCCTCTTCTTCTTTTTTTAGTGCATTGCTGCCCCCTAAGGTCATAAGATAATAACACCCATTGAAACTATTAGGACAGAGAAAACATTCCCATATTTTAGAATAGAGTCCAAGTTTTAAAAAAAAACAAGCAAACAAAAACAACGTGCCCTCTCTTTTGGGAAACTCTATTCCTTAGTATTGTTCTTATTTAAAAGGAATTGTGCCCCGTATCAGTGAATTCAATTTCAACTCAAAAATACTTTATTAATCCCAAAGATAAATTAAATTAGACTTACTAAGTCTTTGGCAAACGTTATTGTCAGTTTGTATAGTTGTATTTTTATTTTATAATTTTTTTATTTTTTTTTATTTTATTTTTTTTAAACATGACCCATCTACTGCATACAGGGGACACTGTAATATCACATGAAAAACTGTTTCAGAGACATCACAGAAATGAATATATTTCTTCGTAAATCAGTCCGGTCTCTTGTTTATTTTTGGCTAAGACTTTTTGTCATGTCCCCTAACTGATCAGAGATATTAAAATCCTCCTTACTAGTATTATTTTTAGAAATCAATACACCCAAATATTTTACTACATGTACACTACCATTGAAAAGTTTGGGGTCACATTAAAGTGTCCTTATTTTTGAAGGAAAAGCACTGTACTTTTCAATGAAGATAACTTTAAACTAGT